AGGGGAATCTCTCTCTGCTTTATATGTTGAATGCTTCTAAATTTGATTTATTGTTTGCGTGCGTTATTGCATATACTATTATAATAATATATTAGTATAATATAACTTAAGAGAAAAGAGAGAGCGTAGAAGTTTATCTTCTATCTGGAAATTTTCTATCTTTAATTTTATAGAAAAATTGTCGTATTTACTTTTTCATAAAAAATTAAGTTCAATAATTTTTTGTAACTTATTAATTTTTGATATGAAATATTTTAATAATTAAAATATTAAATTTCACATTTTACTTAAATATTGTCTTTATTTAATTTGTAATATTTATTTGCTACGTTATGTTATGTGTATTTTATTTTGCTCTACGAAAACAATATTAAAAAATGGGAAATATGATTGATGTGAAAATATATTGTGAAAGTATATAACACATTTTCTGTTTTATATTTTATGTATTAAATTACTACATCTATATTCAATTACTTTTATTTTTTATTTACAATATTTTCGTGTTGTTTACATAAATCGATACTAATAGTGTATTGATATAACATTTTCATTAATGAGAATACAGTTAATTCATTCGATTTCGCGAGGGTGAACTATATTTATCGCACACCACAGACATTGATTAATAATGCTGAGTACATTGTTCCAGTTAGACGTCAGTATAGCATATGTATAACTTGATTCTACATACACCAGCGTGCAATTCCCAATTCACAGGTGTCTTGTTTTTTTTATTAAAACTATTATATAAATCAAGTCACCGTTTACATAAAGAGCGTAATTAGAAATTGCTATACGTATATATTTAATGCACATTTTCTGAACATATATTAACGTTATTTTAATTTATTTTAAAAAATATTATGAATGGTTCTAATATTATGAATAACATTTATTCCGCTTGATCTATATATCTATATATTCTATATTAATAATAAATTCGGAGCACGTAATTAATGGCAAGATGATATACTGATTTTTATTAACGTGACGTGATTTCTATAAAATTGGTTATCAGCATTTTTAATACCTATGTAGTGAAAGATGAGAGTTGCGTGTTGGAATTTTATTCGTGATAATTTGATCCTTTTATTTTTGCAATGAAGATGAAAAGAAAAAAATAATTCTTTATAAAATTCTTAATAAAAGATAAAATATTACATGTTTCTGAAATGGGTTTCTATACTTGTAATGACTAATTATATATATTTATATAAGTTGAATGAAATATTCAATGCGTTGAAACATACTTTTTTTACGTTTGCTTGTATTAATTTTTTGTTAAAATATTACATTTTGTAAAAGATAAATAGTAAGATAAATCAGATTAAAATTGAATAAAAAGAGCTAAAATTTAATATATACTTTAAAATTGTATTTGTAAACTTATGGATAAACAAACTAAATACAGAAACAATACATTATAAATATATGAAAATCAATAATAAAAAGAAAACAATAAAATATATAAATGCGAAATGATTAAAAATTTGAACATTCTTCGTTAAAATTACTGCACGTTAAAATAATTTATTATAAAATAAATATATTAGAAGAAATGAGATTTCTAGTCAATTCGTTATAAGTTGATTATTAATATAATTGCAATAACAATATTTAACATATATTTAATGAGATTATTGAAAGAATAATTAATGTAATAATAATTAATAATAATAGCTAATAATAACAATTATTAAAATAATTAATAAATATATTTACATTTCATTAAATTATTAATTTTATTACTTTGTAATAATTGTTTAATACTTTAAGAAAAAAATGAATAAAATACATGAAAACCAAATGAAAGTCAATATTATCAAAATAATTATCTGAGTAAGATATTTTGAAAACGAATCAATAAATTGGTTTTAGCAACCCTGAAATTTTAAGGAATTAATCCGCATATAAGTTTTTGGAAGCCTTTAGAATTTAATTCTTAAATATTGAAGGGTAATATTATAAAAAATAGAGAAAAAGATAAAAAGATTAGAACATATATCTGGGTTCCCATTGAAATTGTTCAATAAAATGAAATAATTCCGATCGAAATCCATTCCGAACATAAGTAGATTTAATAATTCCACAATTGTGTTCAGTATGAGAAGCATATTAATAGATGCGATCAAATTAAGTTCAATTTAAGGACAATGTACGATCGATCACTTGTGGGGAGGAGGATATGCTATTATTCTACATTGATAATACCTAACCTAATATATGAAAATCTTTTAATAATAAGAAAGACTAATTTATAGTTTATTAAAATTAAATGATAACATTGATTGTTAATTTTTATATATAATTATGAATCATAATATTAATATTCTATTATTAGAAAATGCAAGTAATTTAATGTTTTATGTTCAATGATTATCGATAACTTGGCAATGTTGCATTCTGAAAATGAAGTTGGTATTCCTACTCTGTTACACACTAGTAATTGATAGTTGATGTTAAAATATTATTTTTATGTTTCATTATACGTGTTTTACAATTAAAAATATAACAATAGGTTATAAGCAAGCACATATATATTCGATTATCATGTGTGAACAGGATGAAGCAAGTCGCAATCTAATGTAATGTCGGAAGTCAACAGCGTTGCCTAGTTTTCCACATATATTTCTTTAAATGCTCAAATAGGCATACTTTCATCAGCTTTTTTTGCTTGTATATAAATAAATTACACAGTGAATAGAGTTAAAATTCTTGCAAAGATGTAAAAAAAAGATTTGTTCTAACTATTTATATGTTTTTTATGTGATTCGAAACATTTTAAAAGTAAGTAATTATATAATATTCAATCATTTAATGCATATATGTCATATAATACCATGCATAAAACTCTAACTTTAGCTCTTTCTTTTTTAAAAATTACACGGTTTAAAATTTTCAATCGATTTAAAATTTTAATATTGTTTTAGTTTCGTTTTAAATAATATTCTGTGTAATTTTTTAGATAGATCAAAGCATTTTGATTTTTCGATCGTACCTCCTTAAGATATGTGAGAGAAAATAAGTGTTAAATATATACGTATAATCATATTTTCAAAAAAAAAATGTAAAATAAAAAAATATCGTAAAATGTTATATTAACGTATTGAATAATAAAACAAAATCTTATTCATAATTATTTAGCATCTGAGAGTTGAAATCGACGATTAAATATAAGTACATTATTAACGTGATGTTAAAGCTAATTAGAATTATCTCAACAGAATGATACAATGTATAATCCATAAATTATCGTGTGTTTCTCACAAACATCCAGATTATAAACACGTCTCCAGTTTCGATATTAACATTATTACCTTTATACCTCCCGCATGCATGCAATAACAGTTTACCACGTCTAGCATGTTTATCAATCAAACAGGACATAATAATTGACTGACTAATCTTTACCAATAGGCCCGATTAGATAATATTACTTTATGATTAGATTTTAATTATTTAAATAATTTTTTGATACATGGGAAATAAAAAAATGCCTATCATATTCATGTACTTATATGATTTTAAAAAATTGCATTAAACAAAAACTTAATAATTGTAAATGTATATATATATTAGATGTTGGAATTAATTCGTAGCGTTTTACAAGTGATGGGAAGTACTTTCATTAATGTATTTTTTAATGCTCATGTGAAATAAATAACATTCTTTCATTAAAAACGCTACGAATTAATTCCAACACCTAATATATACATATATTTTTTTTTATTTTGTGCTATGTAAAAAAAAGTAATATTTATATCATGAATATAGCATTTCAATACAATTACCTAAATTTTAAGAGAATATTTTTATTACATGTGTTTTATTTATATTAGTAATATATAAAATAGAATTAACCATATGCGCGCTTATTGAAGATATAAATTACGATATATTAAAAATATAAAGAAAATAAAATTTTAGATTTTATTGAAAAAAGAAAGAATGCATAACGAAATAAAACATGAGATATAAAGAAAGAAAAGTGAATTTATTGGAATGTATTATAGTATAATACATTTACACATTTTACTCGCTTCCTGAACAAACGTATGAAGTGGTACGATTCAGTACGTTCGACTATCTCTACCAGATTGCATTCGATATCGATTGCATACGAATGATATCAATTCAAATGATGACGTTCTGCTAGCGTTTCCTCCATGGCTTACATAGAGCGATTTCGCCGCATTGGTAGCTTTTCTCTCCCCGCATGTCGCTATTAAAAAGGATCTATGGAACCGAGTATTTGTGTGTCTCTATTTTCTCGACGTATCTCACAATTAATTGCGTAAACCCCGTATGTCAACAGAAAACAAATTGTTTTATTCCATATAAAATAAATCGATGGAAAAACCGGAACTTAAAACATCTATTAGAAACAAATAAAAATTTTAGAGAAAATAGAAAAGTAGTTTATACAAATATATATTTATTATATTAGGTGTTGGAATTAATTCGTAGCGTTTTTAATGAAAGAATGTTATTTATTTCACATGAGCATTAAAAAATACATTAATGAAAGTACTTCCCATCACTTGTAAAACGCTACGAATTAATTCCAACACCTAATACAATAAATTATTAGTTGTGTCCATATGATTGAAATTATAATAAACAATTACTGTTTTATAAAACAAATATATATATATATATTACATAAAGTTGTTTAAAATTTGCATCTGTATTCTTTTAGATATATGTAATTCTTACTTTTATAATTTATTATTATATAACATTACAAACAGTTACATAATCTATTTTTTTATTTAATTAAAGAAAACAGTCTCAAACAAAGTTTTAAGTTAAACAAATGATTTATCGTTAAAAATTTAGAAACTGTAACAAATAATTATTTGTAATATAATTGTATATTTTTTATAATAAATTACATGATAATCTTACACGACTAATATTGATAATGATATTACGAGGAAAGAAGCTGAGAAAGAAATAGATACGTATGTATAAAGAAGTATCTAACAAAAACTTACCTGTCAAATGAAATTACGACGAGAGTAAAAACACTGGAAGCAACGGTCACGTGTGCTACGAAGTTGTTGATAGTGCAATACACCATTCCGAAGGGCCAATTAGAGTTAAGGAGGAAGATAAAGTTGAATGCGCAGTTGAGCAATGACATCATAAGATCCGCAATAGAAAGATTTACCAAGAAATAATTAGTTATTGTTCGCATTCGCCGATGAGCTGAAACAAGCGAAAAAAAAGAAAAATCTATAATAGCCATGTTAATATTTTTATAAGTGTTAATGGGGATGTTTTAACGGAGATGTGTTTAACATTTCAGTTTTTATTTCCTGTTTACAAATTGTGCACTTTCCGTAAAAACATTATGGTGACTTTTTATTGTTACTTGAGTACTACAACTGGTAATAAATTTTTCCGTTCACATCCCAGTACGCCTTCGCCGATATTAAAATTCCAAACATTTATCATAAGAAGATATCCACGGAGATGTCTTTAAAAATGAAACATCTATACGTAATATTTTTTTCTTTCTTTCTTTCTATCCCTATGCTTTGTCTTTCAGAAATTATCATATTACGAAAAAAGAGTGAAAACTATTAAATTATTTCATACTGACTGCAAAAAATCTTGCTTTTGTTAACGATAGGGACGGTGACTCCAGTATGGTGGAATACTCCATACACTGAACGATTCAATATATGGAATTCCATGCACTGAATTTCAAATCTGTATGATATTTGGTCAGAACCCTTGTGGCAGACTTCTGTCCTGAACAGCCATATCTTCCCAACTTGTTTGACTTATATCCATTGCACATTAGATTCATCAAACATTTAGAAGTCTTCAATTTTTATTTTTTGTTATCCTTAACAATAGAAATTTTTCAGATTGAGATTTTAGAATTGAGATTTTGAACATCGAGTTGCAAAAATCAGACTTAAATATAAATGAATCTTATAAAAAAATTAGGGCAGTGATTGATACTGCTGCACTCACTCAAATGCGAGAATCAAAATTCGATAATATATGGTATTATTCTACGTAAGAAGTTAGTGCACTGAGCTTAGAAGAACCGAAAATACCTCGATCACGTAATGTATCTAAGCGTTATGAGGAAAGCAATACTAACAATTCTCATATTTTTCACACGTCGAAAAATTATTATCGAAAAATGTATTTCGAAATTTTTGATGTCACGTCATGATGTAAATGAATAATTGATTTAATTCAAAAACTATGATGCTTTTAAATTTATTTGAAAATTTTGCGATAGGCAAAAACAATGTTACAGTCCAAGAAATAACTCAGTATTATAATTTAACACCAAAGTCTGACGTGAAATCAGAAAATTGTTTTGATGAACAAAAGCTTAAATTACATTGTGAAATGTCTTTAGAAATTACAAACATACGAAAAATGCCAGTGCATTGCTTAAAGATGTAATGCAATTTTTACAAGACAATCCCGAGATCGGAGATCTTGTATCAGAATACGTAAAATTTATTCGCGTTCTTTTAACGATTCCGACATCAACTTGTTTAAACAAAAGATCAGTTTCTTATTTAAGATATTTAAAAAATTATCATCGATCGACAATGAAATAAAAACGTCTAAATCATATTGGACATTTATCGAGAAATAGTTGATAAGTTAAATATGGAGGAGCTCATTAATAATTTTATTTAAAAAAATGAAATTAGAGCAGCTACTTTGCCATGTAGAAATGTATGAGGAGTATGTATGAGGAAATATATTTATCCTCTCCCTCCTTCCTTTCTTCTTCCTTTTTTAATTTATCCTCGGGAATACTAAAAAATTTTACTTCGTCACTCTTGGTTAACGAAATACATTATAATATATATTATTCGTGAACATAATTAGTTTATTATTCTGAATAATTATGCTTTCAATTGATATATGATTCTATTCTTAACTATTTTTTATAAAAGGATATTTTTAAAGATTATTCTGTTTTATATATTGCTAAATATCAATTTCAATCACATTAAAATTTTATTTTAATTATATTTTGCATTTAAATTACATACTTTGATATTAATATTATTCTTTTAAATTAAAATATACCATTAAATAAATGGTACTATTACAATATTAATAAAAAGTCAAATGTATAATAGTACTTTGTAGCTTAGAGAAAATTATTATTACGCTTATCTATTAATTAATGATATCTCACATATGCGTACACTAAATATTAGAGAACATTGAATATTTATTAAGAAAACAAATAACATAAAACACATAACATACCCACAAAAGATACAGAGCTCTGTATCGACTTTTGCGCATGAGTATCACATCACTTGTTTTTCATGGTAATCTAATATCTATTACTGCGCTGAAAACTTTACCATCGTAAATTCGAAAAGTTAAGAAAACTAATATCGTAAAAAGAATAGAACAATAACACGTAATATCTTAGTGCATCTTAATGCATAGCAACAAAGATTTATATGTGAAATTTAAAGTAGAAATTCGAAATTAATTTGATATCTTTCAAAAATATATACTTAACTATTTAGATGAGAAAATTCAAATAATTAAAAGTTTGAATTTATTTTTACTTTATTTAAATTTATGTATTTTTTGATACGTTACATATGTAATGTAACAACGCAAATAACGAAATGTCATACCATTTTATTATTTTATTATATTAAAACTGTTTTTGTGGAATATTAATTTTTTTTACTTTGTCGAAATTCTGGTCTTTTTGATAAATAGTAAATTTACATTTGTATATAAAATATATAAAGTGTAAGTCACATTTCGTAAAAAAATCTTTACTGCACTTCAAATCAAATTATTAGAATTTTAAAATATAATTTGTCTCTGTCAAATGTAAATCTGATTTATTCTGCTTTTACCATTCAGATAACGGTAAACATAAACCAACTGACAAGCATTTTTGTGCGTGTGTGACGTATTAACTTTTATATCATTTATCACTAAAGTAATTTTTCGTCATGCATTTTTATAATATGACAAAACGTATTGTATTTTTATTAATTAAATATAATCTTTTATGTTATTTGAGAGAGAGAGAATACAAATAATAGCATAAATTATCGCACAAAAAAAAATTATCGCGCGTCTTATTATACAATATAATATTGTTTGTATAACAGACATGATTTAACTATATCTTCTTTAATAGACATAAATAATACCTCCACTCTTGTTACATGAATTCGATGGCGATACTTGAGAATGGTATCGCATATAACGAGGGCATGTATATCTTCCTCTTATTTAAACAAATTTTATTTCTAAAAATGACGAAATTGTCATATTAGAGCTGCCTACTGTTGTATTTATATTATAATTTTTCCAACACTAATTTTCCAATACACCACATGTTTTTATAAAAGATTTTTACATAAAAAATAGAACGTAATATGTATTAGAAAATAAAAGATTTTATTTTTTAAGTATATAATATGGATATATATATATATATATATATAATATACTGATTGTCTAAAATTATATTATAGAAACAAACGTTAATTGATCAATCAGTAAATAATAGATTCTATGTTAAATAGATGAAAAATATATATGTAAAATATAATAAAATTATTGAACGATCGATTATTATATTCTAAAATTTTTGTAAATATGATATCTATTTTTTAAATTTAATTTAAACTTTATCAATTGTTGGTAATAAGTAAAAACAATATGAATATTCTATTTTAATTTACAACACAAAAACATAGTTTAATTATTTTAATTTAAACTATAAAATTATTTTAATTTAAACTGTAAAAATCAATTTAAAATGCTTATTATGTAATATATTTTCACGAAAAATATCGGAAGTCCAAATTGTCATCACTCGGAATTTTTTTGAAATTCTTCGCGTAGTTGAAAATCTTCCATAGTGCTTATATAAAGTTATTATCGAATCAGAAGCTTGCATACAAAGATGAGATACTTATGTTTTATGAAAAGTTGTTAATTTATTATAATTTATACATAAAGCTTAGTCAGTCCTAAAATTAATTGAAATATGTATAATAAAATAAGCAATGATTACTTAAAATAATACATATATAATGCATGAAAATTTTATAAATAAAAATTATAGCAACAAATAAAATAATAACGCTTTCAAGAAAAATCTACAGTTTTTGTTGCTCACTTCAAAATTGAAATTCTTTTTTTACATTTTTTGTTTATACGAGAAAGATATAAATAAGTATGAAATATTTCTTATCCCGTATATTTTTATTTAATTTTATTTATACATTAGAATATTATTAACTCTATTAGAATATTATTAACTCTAAGGAGAGAAGCATATAAATATTAAATATAAAACATTTTCAAAAAGAAGTATTATTAAAATGGAAAATTTTTTTAATTCCTTGCAATAAAAGTATATATAAATGTTAATGATATTAAAAACGTAAATATTTATTGTGTTTACTGATTCATTACTCAATTTCTGTACTGTGATAAATGAATACAGTATTATAATACATTATTTATAACATAATTTAAAATTACGTTTATTAAAAATTTTTATTATTGTGATGGAGTTCAAAAATTTTAATTACATCTATCGATTTGTTAAAAAAATAAATAAGATCTTATAAAAGATTTTTATGAAAGATGATATGTAATAACATTTTGAGATGTAGACTTCTCGTTTTATGCTATTAGTGAAAATCGACCGCTTGTAATAAACGTAAGCGGATTGTCAGCATATCCATGTAAGAAACTTCAATGCAGTGAGAATTTAGGATGTGACAGTTTATGGATTAACAATAATTACATGAAAGATGAAATTGTTCAAAATTTGTCAATGATATTTGACATTAGATTTCTAGAAATTAATAAAAATGATCTTTTATTCTTGTTTGTATACTTTTTAGTTTAAATTCTACTTAAATCGTAATTATGCTGTTCTGTCTTGAGAGTTGCCTCACAATATTTTCAGTTTTAATTTAACTTAATGTGAATAACTTTTTAAAACTACTGATTTGAAATATGAATATTAGTAATAAGAAATTATAGTATTAAGAAATATAGTATTAAGAAGTAAAGTAAATTATTATTAAACGTTACGAATATTCGTATTAGGTGCTGGAATTAATTCGTAGCGTTTTACAAGTGATGGGAAGTACTTTCATTAATGTATTTTTTAATGCTCATGTGAAATAAATAACATTCTTTCATTAAAAACGCTA